AAAAAAAAAAAACAATCCTAAAATGTGAATGTAATCCATTGGAGAATTTAGCCGGCCGGTAAACACCCCCTTGAGGAACACCCCCTTTGTTTCTCATAGGAAGCACTTATTAGCTGAGAGCATTTGCTGCCCTATGAAGCAGATATCTAGTGGTGCAATATCTTCAGAGTATCTTCTAATTTAGCTGTACTCACAAATGTCTCCTCCTTCCCCGTTTCGCTCAGCTCTGTGTTAAAGAAAGAGATGTTTGTAGTGAACAACCATTATCTGCATTTGAGTAATAATGGAGTTGCATGGGCTCCTCACAGTGTGGGGCATCCTGCCTTATTAGCATTAGCTGGGTGACCTTCAGCATCGCCAGCATTTTGATTTCTTTCCAATGGCCAATTAAGCAGGGGGTGGTTTATTTAAAATAACATTCAAATAATTACGTTGAAAGTTGGATGGGGATGAGAGAAAACCTTAAAAATAGGCTTTAACATACTTTATCTGATCCTCGGCTCCTCTGCTGGTTATAAAGGACAGTTCGCAGTCTTCAGGTCTTCACAGGCACCATCGGTCGATTGGGGAGGGACACGAGGAGAGAGAACAAACGAGTTAGATGGAGTTTTATGATAAGAAGAGGGTGATTTCTAAGAGACGGTGCCCATGTGTGCTGTGCCAGGCTGCTCTGACACTAATCCCAGATTTGATAGAGCACCTGTCAGTCCCTTGGAGCCCACCAGATGAGAGACAGCTACAGCTGACAACACAACTGAGAAAGAACGAGCGCTTACTTGAGGTTTGCCAGTGTTTTAATGAGAGCGAACTCGTGGCGCTGGCTGGGTGGCATCCAGCGGTGTCTCTCTGCCAGTGCGAGCGTCCGCCCACCAAAACCAAACATGGCAGAGAAGCCGAACCTCAGCAGACAACCCATAGAGCTAAAGCTGCACACGTCCACAGGCTGATGATGACCTAGAACAAGCGAAGTAATGCAGTCAGTACGCTGAGGTACGAGGTTCACCAAGGCACTGCCCTAAAAAGAGTACAAACCACTAGGAACAAAGGACACTAGAGCCACAGGAGGGTTAAACACAAGAGGCATTAAGAACCCTTTACAAATGAAGATTATAGCTCTATTACAAACGACCAAATTCACAAGCAGTATGGCATGTATTCTTCATTAAAAAGGCAACCCCATAAAGCATTGCGATGAGATTGAGGAAAAAATATGGTAAGAGATTGGGTGTTAAATATAAATATATTGAATTCCATACCAAAAAAATATATAAGAATAAAACAGTTAAATCAAATTGACCATTCTACTCAATATTTGGCAGTTTTACCCTAATATATGCTCCATTGATATTGTCAGTCGAGTGTCCCGTGCACTTCATGAGATAAGCGCCACGTTGCTTATAAATTAAATGGGTCACTTATGAGGCGTCATTTAAGATCGCCAAGGCTGCATCAAAAATACAGCAAAAACATTAATATTGCGAAATATTATTACAATTTAAAATAACTTTTGTATTTTAAATATATTTTAAAATGTAATTTATTCCTGTGAGGCAAAGCTGAAT